CTCTTTTCAAAACCCTTTTTATAAAAATGGTTTTCTTTTGAAAATTTTCATACCAAGTCTTCATTTTGAGTTCAAACACACCCGAAAGTGTGCCCAAATCCCTCAAACCAAGGCTCTGATACCAACTTGAAACATCCTAAAAATCATGACCAAAAATTTCATTTTTAAATCATTAAATAAACCATAGTTACTAAAAATCATTTATCAAATGGAACCATAATATCTCAAAATATAAAAATTAGTATATCCATATCAAAACACATGTCAAATATATATCAGAGTAACATCCCAGGCTAACATCATGGTGTGGGCAATGCAGTCGTCTCAAGCACTTCCCCTTGCTACCGGAAGTACCTGAAACCAAAACTGAAAACTGTAAGCAAGAAACTTAGTGATTCTCCCCAAACTACAACATACCATACATATAATCAAATAATCACATATTAACATATCATGGGCCCCACCCGCTTAATCCCCCCCCCCCCTTCCGAAATTAGACATAATGTTATGTTATGTTTATGCATCGGGCAGATTCCCACATCAAGCAAAGCTTGGTATACATATAAACATATCAACAAATACACATAAATAATCACATACATAAACATATAAACTTTCCTCAGGCCCCACCCGACATCAGACTGAAATCTGAAAGCATACAAACATTCCTCGGGCATTGTCTGACGTCGGACCATAATCTGGAAACATACGAAATATGCACGTGCAAGAATCACGAAGACATTAAGCATACACACATTCCTTGGGCACCACCCGACATCGGATTGAAATCCAGAAACATATAAATCAACATCGGGCACTGCCCATCATTGGACCTTGGTCCAGAACACACACACACACACACACACACACACACATATATATATATATATATATATATATATATATATATATATATATATATATAGGTCGGCATTGGTGTCTTCGACCCGTTTATACAGGAGGAAAACTCACCTCACAAAGCTGAATGTAGAATCTTAAGGTACGAAATCTCTAATGGCTGCTCTAACGAATCCTCGAGTTATCAATTCAAAATAACACTTAGTCATAATCTAATAATCATTCGTAGGGTAAAATGACCATTTTACCCCTGATCTAATTTGGAACATAACCTAGGCCCAAATTCATAACAGAAATGGTCCAACTCTATATAGCCTTTCCAAGCCCAATAATGGCCTACTCATGGCCCAATTTTCTAAATTCGGCCCAACTCCTCAAATGGGCCTTCCCTTTAGCCCAAACATGTCCTTAGCCTAATAACTGACTTCTGATGGCCCACTATGGCCCGATAGCTATGAAGTCCAAGGATCGTCCCAAACTGAGGCACAAATGACGAAAACCCATATCCAGTGAGTATGCAGGGCGTAGTACTCTGTACGCGAAGCGTACAACTTGCATGGCTTGTATGCTACGCGTAAGGGCTTGTACTCCCAAGTCCAAAAAGGCTTAATCCTTTAAGACCTTAAGCTCCAAATGTAGATTTGAGCCTACTAAAGTGTCTTAACCCATAAAGTTGATTACTTGGTGGCTTGCAAACCACCAAATGGACCTAAACTTGAAATATGGCAACTAACTTCCATGTAAATGACTAAAACTCATGCATGGCCACAATAAGACCTTCATGATGATAACTTTTCTGTTCTTGGGACTCATATAGCACTAAGGGTGGCAACCCTAAGCCTAGAAATGGATTTGGACCATAAAAATCCATTCTTGGGACCAAAAAGGTTCAAAACACCTTTACCATAGATCTAAGCATATATGAGGCAAGTTGTGAGCTTTTTAACTCAAATGAGTACTAGATGATGATGATATCTCAAATCCTTGAGCTCAAGCTACTCAAGTTCTTCTTCCTAATTTCTTATTTCTCCTTCCAAGCTTCAAGCTAGTAAAATGGACTTCACAAGATCAAAATCACACAAAGATGAAGAAGGTTAGGTTCCTAGGATTTCTGAGTCAATGTGGCTGGTAAGGAGGCTAGGGTTTGGGACATAATGAAGTATTTATATGGTTTAAACCCTAAAAATTAGGGTTTTGAGTTCTCTTTAGTATGCTACGTGTACTCCTTAGTACGTTGTGCGTGCGCGTATCAACCCCCCGCACCTAATGTTGCCACTACGCCCTACGTACGCCAAGCTTACACCAAGAGTACGTCTTCAGAAAATGCAAATATAGAATGACCCACAGACTAAGGTCCTAACTAAATAATCCGACATTAATCTTATAGTCCAACAATTAATTACAAAGAAATTGAATAATTATCATTACCTCAAGTCACGAGTATTACATAACCCTAGGATATGTTCTATCTCTAGATCCAGCAATTCAATGATAATAGAAAAAACCTAAAAATCAAGTTTATGCAAAAAGAATGACCATATAATTACAAAAAACCTGCAAGTAAGTGATAAAAGATATAACTTCAACATGGTAGGATAACGATATGCCAAACACAAGTAAAAACAAACCAAATTAATTCATAAAACTCAAAATCAATGCATAATATTAAGGTTCATCTACACTAAACGAAAGGTAGGGTATTTAGCCCATAATAAAATTAGAAAGACACTAAAACATGTAGTAAACTAGAGTACACATGATAAAAACTAGCAAACCGAATGAGTTATGATGTTCTTCTCTCTAGATCTCTTCAAACCTTGATCTCTAATCGATTCTTGGGCTTCTTAGGGTTTCTCAGAAGGTTTTGGTCGCTTTTAGTTACTGAAAATCATAACTCCTCTTGAAATTTGACCTAGAGGTCGTATTTACAACTTGTCATAATACAACCACTACATCATGGCACAATGTTTGCCATGACATGGGAGACATTTTCATTTCGTATGCTTCAAGCCTTCTATGCCGATCATCAGGGAAGTTTCCTTGTAAAATGCGTCTCAACGTCACGACATGTATGTGACCAAGATGTTGCATCCATTTTTGCACATGATTTCTTCTCTTTACTTCCTCTTGACGAATACATCCACACTACTAGAAAAAAGGCCTTTTACGACGCTCATTGCGCGTCGTAAAACGCTCAGACGACGCGCAAATGCGTGTCAAGGAAGGCCCTGTCATAAAGAGAGACGACACGCTTTTGCGCGTCGTCTATAGACGACGCGCATTTACGACGCGCATTTATGACGCGCATTTACGACGCGCGGTTATGACACGCAATCCGTATCAAGGAAGGCCCTGTCATAAAGGAAGACAACACGCATTTGCGTGTCATAACCTTACGACGCGCGTGTTTATGACACACAATGCGTATCAAGGAAGCCCCTGTCAAGAAAGGCCATGTCATAAATAAAGATGACACACATTTTTGCGTAACATAATTTTAAATGTTTAAAAAAATATTATTTATAGATTTACTAATTTTTCATATTAAATAATACATTAGAAATCTCATAATAATAAATAAAATACCATAAATAACAAAGATAATTCATTTCACTAATATGTCAAATACAAATAATTATTCCAATAGTGAGTAAATGTTATAAAAAAATGAACTCATTTATATACAATTGCATTATCTAGCTTACTATGTGCCAACAACTTCTATCTTTTTCCTTCTCTGCATAAACTTCATTAGCAGCATCCTAAAGAACTTCTATCTTTTTCATCAGCAACATCCTCAAAAACTTCTATCTTTTTCCTTCTCTGCATAAACTTCTATCTCACACTCAATGTAGTTTTAAACATCAGGTTTAAAAAATCAAGTTTGTGAATCTCTTTTGCAGCACATCAGATGTGCTTTTTCCTTGAAATTATGCTGCTACTTGAGATAATATAGAAAGGAAATGTGATTTGGATAAGAGAGAGAGAGAGAGAGAGAGAGAGAGAGAGATAGATAGATAGATAGATAGATAGATAGATAGATAGATAGATAGATAGAGAGAGAGAGAGAAACAAGATATGAATAAAATAGTTACTTACACAGAAATGTTAACCAGCATTATAATTTATACGAATGCAATTCTCTTGAAACAGGGGTCCGCATCCAAACTCACAGTAGCACGTCGAACCCTATCCTGTGACATTATAGAAATATGATAACTTTCAATAAAATGAGCAAATTATAACAAGTTATACGAGGGCATATACCTAGAAACTTGTCGACGTTGAACTCCTTGGTCAATCCAGAAAGAACCCCCAAAAGATCCCTTTATCACTTGAGGGATTTAATAATAGAAGTTGTAATTGTACACATTGAAAGATGAAGGACATGTTTGTAATTACTGAGACTTAATTAGTTTGAATCTCTTTCCTCTTATATATAAAATATCTATAACGAGTCTAATTGCACCTGATAAAAAGCCAAGGGAAAAAGAGTCTTTAAAGCAAAGAATTCATGAGATGTCCTAAGTAGCAGAGGCAAAAGGTTATTTAATCCAATTACTTCATGCCATCTTTATGGAACCCACTCATGCAACTTCGAATTTAGATGAGGTGCTAACTAAACTATGTTCGGTAACCCACTCATGCACATCAACCTGAAAACAGTATTGAAAAAAATCTGTTAAGCTAAAAATAACAGGGAATTAATGAATAATACCATCACAGTTTTCCTTTTTTACTAATGTGAGTATGCAGACTTCAGTTTTTACCAATACGGTTAGAATCAATATGCATTAGCCATATTGGAGCACAATGATTGATGGAGCACAACTGATTTGTATGTCTTGATTATGATTGAACTGAGAAAACAGGAAAACTTAATGTGAAAAAAAAACTTTTAGTCTACATTACAAATTGAAATGAACTTCATCAAAAGTGTGCATTAAGGAGAAAAGAAAAGTATACCTGTAATTATAGTTTTTCACTTGTCAAATATTGTCTAGTTTAACAGCCTTGAATCCAACCTCATCACTTGTCAAATACAACCATTGCCTTTAAATTTTAAAATAAACATCATAACATAGTTACATTGCATGTCTTTCTTTGTATAATAATGTATTAGACTCAAATTGTAATTTAATTTACTCCAGACCTAATTCCCATACACTCTGGAAAGATGTTATAAGCTGCTCTTTCCCGTTTTTACCTGAAAAAGAAAAACAAAAGTACATGAATTATAGTAATCATTGTATATGAAATGAAATATAAAGAATGAATGTCAGTTGCCTACTCCTTTTTTTAGATAATCTTCTGCAACATAAACAACATCACTCCCGATAGATATCTTATCCGCACCAGATCAGAAATATTCTGAAGCCACCTCCAAACTAGAATAGTACCTATATTATTAATATTTTAAACAATTATTAAATTCTTCACAACAACATATTACATATTACATATTTACAATTAACACTTAACAGTACCTTCCATTTGCATCAGTGAAATCTTTGATACCACCACCAACTGTAAGTGGTACAAAAACATTCTCTGATGTGTATTCAAAAAGCTAACCTACAACATGTTACAACTCAGTAATAGAATGACTCATTCCATTCCATTCTATCCTAATACCTAATATGTAATATGTAAGAATGAAAAGATAGTAATTAAGTACCTCATCACCCCATCTAAGTAATACTGTCCAGCAAGTTCAGCTGGCTTCCCTAGGTTCCTCACCTATCACACCATTTATTTATTCAACAAAAACTTCTTACAAAAATCCAGATTGCTATTGTGGTGCTGCTGTCGGACTACAATCGATGTATATGAAAACTTTTCCTTTGTCGGGGGCTGAACAACTTAGTCATCCTAATTCAGACTGCTATCAACAAAGTTCAAACATAACAAAAGCTGATTCCAACCTAGAGAATTAATATCTAATGGAATAAAAGAATCACCCCAACTTAAAAAAAGGAAGGCTTCTGATTGGATTTGGGTTCTCACTGTGACATCATCAGTACATCCTTCCTCTTCCTCCAGTTGTGTTGCTCTAACAATCAGAACCAACATCAAGTTTAGGCAGCTTGTGCAGCCACTGCTTCCTACATCATAAATCAAAAAATAATCACTTTAATAGAAAAACAAAGCATATGTAACAAGAAGAACAAGGAAGACATGAATCACATTTTAATGACAAACACACTTCGCATTCAATAAGAAAAAAAAAATAGGCATCCTTGGAGAAGGTATGTCTAGCCTAGTAGAGTGCATGATGCTTTTCCAGGAATGGTGATTAACTGAAAGGCCATTGGATAGCAGATCAAACTGAATCCAGGCTATGAAAAAGTCATAATTACACAAGTAAATCACACATTTGGTCCCAGTCCTTTACCAAACTTGTGATTTTGCCACCAAATTTGTAATTCTCTCTAAAAAAAAGTCTTGTCAACTCTGTTTTGCACAGCAACCAAACACTCTCTGAGTAAGTTTTAAGATCTAATACGTGCATGTGTGAAATACAATAGAGACAGCCTAAGACATCTTGATAGATAAGTGTAATACATTTGCTACGATAATTATTTAATAAAATTTTCAAATTCTGACTTGAAATAATTGTGTTTCACAGAAATCTAGATGCTATAACCGGTTCAACATATATTTACCTTCTCTTGTGGAGTTCGACATGCATAATATTTTGGAGAAAGATGTAGCTGGAAGGACTACACACTAATGCAACCTAAATGAGAAATTGATAGCCATGAGCATTATGAATGTCTTGTTATGTGACAAGTGATTTACATCTCTCTTCGATTCAAGATTCATCTCAATTTTACTCAAATACCCCCACCACTCCCTCTTGTTAGTAATCTAACAAGAAATGATTGCAGACAGTTAACTTTTAACAGGTTTCTGTTAATTCTGTTAACAGGATTCTGTTTGGTTTCCGATTTCATCACAGGGGTTGGGCGTTCTATGTCAGCAGTACCACTCATGGTTTCACTGTCCATGTTGGCAGTCTAACTCCTCATATTCCTTCGTTCATGTTTTCAAAAGTCAACCATATTGAAAATCGATCAAAATAACATATTCACAGAGGGTAGTTTTTTCTTTTCAGCAGTTACTGTTTCAAGTACATAAGGCCTTTGTACCTTAACAGCAATCAAATCCCCAAACTGTATCCTGAACTACCAGAACTGCCCGAACTCTCACAGTTCCAAGAAATGGTGCCCAAACTGTATCCTGAAACACATAACATGGTGGATGAGAAGCTTCAGTTAGAAATTGGTGGTTTTTCACCTGATGTAGATGTAGAATGGGACAATAATTTGCTGACCGGAATGGAGAAATATCTGACCACATATGACCTGTCATGGGAGCAGTATATTGAGGGGAGCCTAGAGGTTGACAAGAACAATGCCATTGAAGTAGGAGGTCTGAAATATAACCTGAGATCAGCTAAGTTATATATATTTTTAATTATGTAACAAGCCAACAAATTTGATATTGAAATGAAGCTTAAGTTCATGACTAATTTACCTTTCAAAGTTATATAAATGTGAGTGAATTTGATATTAATGTCTGGAACTTGATATTATTGTCTCCAATCTATCTAGAAATTTACCTTACTATCTCCACCTGGCACCAGACCCTGAAAAATAACAGTTCAGGGTACCAACCTCTGTCATTTATTTTGCAGTTTGTATATCCCTAAAGATGCAGCAAGCAATCCGTGTACTATCACATTTGTTGCAATCAATTTTATAATTTAAAAAAATCAGACTCAAAACAAGAAATAATTATATATTTTGAATTTTATAATAATTACCTGCATATCTTCTAACTGGTGAGGTGAAATGTGTATAAAGTAATAAAGAGGTGCAACAAGCCCATAATGGTGAAACTTCGGGGGGCTAAGATCCCCACTACAGAAGTAAACAACCTTAAGTGGAAATTAGTTTATTTTGTTCGCTTTATTTAAAAAAATAAGATTAAGCCAATTATGATTTAAGAATAGTAGAATACCAACCTGTGTCATACATCTAGTTGCTAGGATACAGATCAATTTATTGAAGTATGGATCATCACCCTTCTTTTTATTTTTTATTTTTTTTATAAGATAAAATTTAATAAAAAATTAGTTAGAGACTTTTATAATGATCAGTGAATGAAATTGGAAAGTCAAACTAACCACAGCCCAATCAAGTGAGTCAGCAAGTGATTTGGATGATGACACATCAAGGTCAAGGCCAACAAAAGCAAAAATGTGTAATAAAGGTTCAAGCATTTCTTTTGTTGGACTAGGATGTCGCTTGTAAACAATATTTATTTACTTAATCAAAATATAATATATCCATCAATGTGATTAGCTTAAATAGTTAGCAACTCTACAGTAACAGATCACAGTTGTGACCGTATTGCTGGATTCTCATATTGAGATAGTAAAGGGAATCAAATCAGTTTAGAAATTGTAAGTAAATGAGATTCAATTCCTATTACATAAATTAAATTCCAACTCCTAAACACTAAATTGATTTTTTTATCATTATCAGAACACAATTGGCTGATTACTACTCATGTGTATGTATAATAATAGTAAATTGAATCTAATAGGAATACATAAATTTTTATTTACCTGTGAGGTTGTCACTGTGGTAGGTTGCTTTGAACCTTGTTCATTAATCTTTGGACAATCCCCTTTTGGTTCAAACATTTAGTCAAACACCTAGTGTGCATAAAAAAATTAGGTACTTATATCATAAAATATTAACAATTCCATGAAAATATATGAGAGAGGGTAAAAAGGCACAAAAAATCATCCAAAAAGAAGGACCAGTGGGACATGAAACAGGTAACTATGGTTGAAAAAGGAAGAATTACCTTTGAAATAGGCCTACTACGCAGATGAAATAGGCAACAGTGGTGGTATAGTGGTGGTTCTGGGCTGCTGCGAAGGCAGTGTGGTGGTGGCTCAGGGCTGGTGTTGTGGTGCGATGTTGTAACGGTGGAGTCTGAAAGCAAACACAAATTGTCATGGAAGCTATTGTTGTTGGTGATGTCCGATTCATCAAAAGAAAAACATTCTTCGATCAATCTTCTATTTTGTGAAAGAAGATATTACTATTTCAAATGTGTTATGTTTGATTAGGGTTTGCACATAGAAGGAAGTGAAAGTCGATCGGAGAGGAAGGGGTTTGCAGAGAGAAAGAAGGGAGAGAATGAAGTCGATTTTGGCGGGTGTAGAGAGTAGAGAGGAAGAGGAAGCGGGTGTTCAAAATTTTGGGGGATTTAGTTTCCCCCCTTACCTATCAAGGAGTCCCAGAAACGCGCGTTTATTAAAATTATAAAGCGACATTTGTAGAGGACGCCCTTTTTATTATAAGTGCCCTCCGTGTTTTTAATATTTTTACATGAGACACTAATTTAAGGGCACTCAGTAATGCGCGACCTAAATCCTTAAAATTTTTGAAGAGATGACACTTTTTTAATGTCGCTCTCTAATGCGTAACATAAATCAAAGAGCGTCGTGTTTTGCGCGTCGTAAAAGGGTCTTTTTCTTGTAGTGCCAATCTCCAAATATCCAATTATCCAATTTTGCTCCACTTCTTCCGAGAATGTCCTTTTGGCTACAAAATAAATTTCACACACAATAAGTACCAAATATCTCAATAAATAACCAAAATATAACTAAATGTACTTAAGTATTACTTGGAATATATGGCTAATTTCAGCAATATTGATGTGTTTGAAAACAAGCTTTAAATTTATATCCTAATTATTCAATTCAACCAAACACAATAGGTAGTGTACCTAGTCGCATAGCTAGGATATATCAATTTATTACTTTAACCACAATAACCATGTATATTAAGAAAATCAAATTGATTTTAAGATATATTTGGACTATGAATGAATAATCTAGACTTATCTATCTATGATCAAGATAAAAAAAATAAAACACATATTATGATGTAATAATGCTCATTGACATAGTTAAAGAAACTAACTTTACCACCTATACTACAATTTGTTCAATCACTAGATCTAGTAATTTAATGATCATAAATAACAAAGAAACAAGTTCATGCATTCAAATTGGTCACGTAACTACACATAACTCAAGGTCAAAGATCAATTGTTTTTACATGCTAGGATGATGATGTATCAAACACAAGTCAAAACCAAGATCATTTATCAATAAAAATAAAGACTAACTTATAGTATTAGGGTTCATGTAATCTAAACAAAAGTATAGGGTTACTAGCCCATGATTACAGTAGAAACCCACTTAATTAAAATGTGTAAAATCTAGGAAAACCGAATTACTAATGATGAATCTTTACTCCAATCACTCTAAATCTTTTTCTTCAGTTAGAATCAGCCTCCAAGGTTTCTCTCAGAGGTTCTTGTTTGGTCTTAGTCAAAGATATTAGTAACTTTCTCTTCAAGGATCCTAACGTTTGACCTAAAAATCGATATTTATACTTGCCAAGAATCATCTTCCACGTCGTGGCCATATGGTCACCACGCCGTGGAAATCATATCACACACGTATTTTGCAAGTCTCCTCATTGGCCAATCAAGAAGGTTCCTATCTCTATTTTGTGGCTCAAGAAATACCACGTCGTGGAATCTTATTCTTTTATGAAAAATTCTTCTTTTCTTCTCCTTGATGCAAGCTCCATCCTCTAGGTTTCCAACTTTTCCAGTTTAAGTCTTTTGTCTTAATAATGTCCTTCTTTGGCTATAAAATAGAATTTTATACTTTATAAGTACCAAATATCTTTATATTTAACCAAATTATAGCTTAAATGTATTGAAATAATGCGTAAATATATGTATAAATATATCAATGTCAAGTATAAATGGATGTCCAACTTGTCATTTGTCTATCAATAGTGTTAATAAAACCATGATTTCATTCGGTTGTTCGTATTCAGTTGGAACTAGCACATGAAACACAACTTCTATATATTTCTTCGATATGTTTCCATTGTGAATTACGATGCAACCTATTTTTTGTAGAGTTGATATCTTAGTTTCTTGAATACCACCATATCATGAGTATATGGTATGCCAACCAACTTCCACTTCTCACATGTACAACAATGAGATTCCAAGTTGACTATACCATTTTTTATTTGGCTAGTCACTTCATATCTGCTTTGATTAATATAGTATACCTGAACTAGAGTATTTGTTGATCCTCCTTTCGATAACCTTCTCAACACACTCAATAACATCTTTTTCATTGTGAACAATAAGAAAGTACAAACATCTTGTCATGCATAATAATTTATATAAAAATAACCATAAAATTACTATCATTTAAATAATTTACCTCCAATATTACGCTGTTGACACTACTATTGTTGCATTGTTGCTAAAAAGAAGTGAATCAACATTGTTATTGGTTGATTTAATGCGTCTTTTGATAACGCGTTGAAGGACTCCGTGTTGTTTGATGTCATTAAATTATAAAGAACCAATGGAAACTTGACCTTGCCCGCTTCTTGTTATTAATTCTATGTATCCATGTATAACAGTAGCACATGGTGTAACCTAGTCAAACTCTCTTTGAAATCAGACTCTCAGTAAGCTTTTGCAGTATCCCAAAACAAAATTTTGATTATTTTTTGTTTCCCAATCTTTTTTCGTATATTCATCAACAAATGGCAACAATAGAGACAGTGATAAGTGTTAGGGAACACGACTTGAATGACCGTTTCAATGGAAATGGCTCTATCAAATATGATAGCCAAAGATGTCATGTCCTTAATACATTCTTAAATCTTAATAAAATCCATATACATGAATTCATACTTCTATTTTTCCAACACCAAATACTATTAGGGGGATTGGGTTATTACCGTCCATGACTACTGTAAGGAATACCGTGCCTAAGTATTTCCCTTTAAGATGTACTCTATGAATGATAATAATAGGACACAAACATATTTTGAATGCTCAAACCTACACAATAATTTAATAAAATAGTCATTAAATTGCATGAACGTGTAACAAGGATTAAAATAACTCATTATATAAAAATATTACCGCACAATAGATAGCCACAAAAAAAGTTTTCAAATTTGTTGTCATAACTTGTCTTTATATGTGTTATGGTCCCTAGATTCTTCTTATCTAAATTGTAACAGTTTAAAGGAAGTCTTTGAAAGCCTTCTTTAAGGGTCCCTTTCAACATATTTAAAGCATACATTTTAGCACTCCATGCTTGCCAGTATGAAATATGTACACTAATACGGTCATTTAAAGTTCGTTGAATCTGCTTTCCATGCAACATCTTATATGTACTATTATCTAATATGCCCTTCAAGAAGTAGCCCATTACCTTTTTTTGGGTTGGAGATGATAAGGAAGAAGTTGTATGTTTGAGCAAGTGTGGCTATCTGATAATTTAACTACTTGAAACGAATAGATATATTTATCTTTTGTAGCTTCTAATCAGCATAAACAGCTTCATACCTATCTTTTGTAGATTTTCTCACTCTAGTCTGAAATACCTTAGTAATACTTTTACATCCTACTTTAATTTTAAGTTATTCTTTGGTTTTAAAGAGTTGATAAAGCTTCACATAAGCATAATAATTGTGGGCTGCAACACCTTTACGTTTATGTTGAGTTATTTCGACAATTGTAAAGGTTTAAGCATCCCCCAATGATTGGTTTGTGTTTCTTCAAAATCGGAAAAATAATATAGATACTTTTCCTCTTGAGTTTTTCAGGGTTTTAGGGGTTAAGTTTCCTCATCTTTAGATTTAGCCTCATCCTCAACAAACTCAGTCAAAATCTGGAAATGTTCATCTGGCTCTCTATGTGGAATTATAATGTCATCATCGACCAACAAAATTAATTTTGCCTGATCATTTATAGGTTCATTAACATCAAATGATGGAGCAACATCAGTTGAAGCCTTACCTTTATACCTAAAGTCACTTCCTTTTACAAGCTCATTATAATAAGGATCATGATTGGTTTTCATAGATAATAAATCACAAATTTGGTTACATTTGGTACCAGAAGATCCATTGCCACCAAATCGATTTTTCTCAGGAAATCGATGAAGACAAATTTCCATAACATTATTAACAACAAACAATTGTACTGTGTTAAGAGACATACTACTAACAAAACAAAAAAAAATATTTGACATCACTATTGTCAAGATTTTGCATATCTATATTTGATTCAAAACATTGGAAAAATAGACGTATTTGATTAGTGTGTGATTTGGACTTAGAAGAAACCAAAGTAATTAACTTACCAAAGTTGATATGATTTCTTATATCTACACCAAAGCATGTGTAGTTTGGATACACTTCCATTGCCCTCCATTAGAAACTGGGGCTAAAAAAAAATCATTATACATACTTATTTTTTTAGATAAAAATGAGGTTTTAGCAATGGAGGAACAAGGAGAAAGAAATATAATGCTTATGGAAGAACAAAGAACACACAAATAGCCTAATTTTACCTATCTGTTATACCCGTACATTTCAGAGTATAATCCGAAATATGTTTTTCTAGTCCGGAATGTACGGTTTGGAAGTTAATACCTACAAACCACCACCACATTTCAAATTATTTATATTTACTGAATTTCCCATAATTAAATTTATTTATAACTCGTCTATATATAATCCTTATATTATTTGTAGGTTTGATAACAGGTGGGTTTTGGCATCGACACCCGAACCTAGTAAGAGTGCATGAAGAGTGGGGAGTATCTAGAGGTCGGCGAAAAACAACAATTATGAAAGTATCGCACTAAAAATAACAGAAGTAGATGAGAGTGGTGAGTTTTTCCGATTTGCCCCAAATACAATCAATTCACCTTCCATTGTGTTTTGAGAGAAATCAGAAAAACCTAATTCCAATCTCGTTCGTTTCTCGCTGGATTTTTTAATCTTTTGATCCTCGAATTTACATCACAATGCCTCATGCATGCGTATGCATTTTCTGATTGTTTGGAGGAAGAGTCGACTGTTGGCTTTTGAGTTTTGAAGGGTTAAGGAAGAACCAACTTCGAGTCCTGATTTTCTGGAGG